TTTCTAGTTTTGTGATCCAGGCACCCTTGCAGGACAGCTGTAGAAGAAACATATAATATGCACACGGTCAGTGAAGGAAAAGCAGCACAGTAATTGGACATCACTCTTCTCCGTCCTGTTATCATCATGTTCCTTGTCAGCACATGCACTGCAAAAGTACATCTTCCTCTCCCACGCTAGGCTTTGCTGTAGAAGGGATTTCAAAAGGCTGAGAAGCTTAATAAAATGTTAGGTACTTAATTTAGTTTACTTTCTTCAATGCATTTTGGCTGAATACAAAGTGGTAATAATTAGTGTTGTGGAAATGTGCCTGTATGCAGTCTTAGTAAGGAAAATGAATGTCATACTTTGTGAGCCATGGTGATTTATGGGTAGGGATGAATTATGTTTGAAAGAGGATGACTATTTGCAGTATAGCTCAAAGCTCCATGATGAAAGATTGCTGTGTAATGGGTGTTGCTATCACAACAATTTCAGATAAGGTATTGAATGGCAATGAGTTGTAATACACGTAGCATTTATTTTGCTGATGGAATGCTTATATGAATTAGATTTATAATTAAAGTAATTCAAAATATTTAAACTGCATCTGAGTCTTTTGACAAGCGGAAGGCGTTGGCATTGGTTTCACACTTAAACTGCAATAGTCATGATGATGTAATCTTCATTTCGTAGCCGCGCATGTCATTACTTGAGATTGACTCATTATGACAATGAACACTGTAGTGTAAAACACATCACGGTGTTACTGTTGGTAGTTGATTGATACACTAATGAACTTCCGAGGAGCATGACAATTGTAAGCAGACTTTGATTTGTTGTAAAGGAATGCATGATACCTCCACTGCAGAGCAATAAACATGTTATGCAAAAGGAATAATTAACACACTATGGGCCCTGTTTTACTAATATTCATTTATTATCACGCATCAATGCCACTCGATCTTTCAAATCCTACACAACTGGAATTTTTTATTCCTGTGCAATGCACGCAAATACAGTATTTGTGCACAGGCTACAGCGAGCATGCATGGAATTTATTAATAAGTGTACTTTGTTTTACAGTAAACTCTCCAATATCTGAACCTACACCAGCTAAATGGTGTGCTTTTAAAAAGAAAAGGTTTTCCTATACAGTTTCTGGGTCTTTCTAAGCCAGGGGTGGAAAAAATAATATAGAATTCAGGAGCCAGTCTATCCAATCCAGGCATCAACAGGATTGTTTTAGGAGCCAGCTTCACTGACAGCACTTAGAGAAAATGTCAAAAGTCAGGCAGCAGCTTTCATTTTTAGGAGCATTGGCTACCTGCCTTCTAGGATTTGTCCATTCCTGGCCTAAGCGCTTTTAGATTCACATACTATACAAGCCTAAAACCGCATGAAGTGCACAGGGCAAGTGTTAAACAAGACTGTACAAAATGAAATTTCTCAAAGCATCAAGGAGCTGTATGTCAAGTGGGGTGGATATTGTAATGCATCAGTGTGAGATTCCATCTTCTCGGTACTGCGTATATGGATTCCAATGGTAAAAAGTCGTACATACAGTGAAATTGAGTAGCCCTTGCAGTGGGGCTACCCCCAGAATGCATGGGTTAACTGCTCATTTGTTTCTAGTTGCTAAAAAAAAAAAAGTTATGCTCACCTGATCATTCCAGCCGGCTCGTTCCTAGATCGGGTCCCTAGAGACTCTCTCTCCTAGTCTGCAGCGGTCTAGGTATCCTTGTGTCATCACACTGTATGCAGGTGAAAACGCATAAGGACGCTAAGGAACATATTCCATCTTTATCAGAAGAGGAGGAGACACAAACGAGCAGTTAATCCTTGCAGTCGTGGAGTATGAGCATGCACGGGTGCATCCACAGCAGCATCTGGCACAGGGTCCTCCAACAGAATATCGGCCCAAAGCACCCAGATATACAGTGAGCACCCAAGAATGGCTACAAACAAAATATTGGTCTTAATCTGGAACATGTATGAAAAGGAGCTGAAACATGCAGTACCCTTAAAAGCTGAGAGTAGTTTGCTTAAGAGTGGACAGTGGAAATGGCTTGCAGTGATTACCTATAACGTTTGTGCAAAAATATTTTAGGTTAAGGGTCCCATCATTTTTCTCCATGCATTTTTTTTTTTTATATACAATATTTTACTAAATCAAAAGCAAAGTCTGATTTTATTAAATATGCAATAAAACAATCATGGATGGCAATCAATTTGGTCAGTTTCAAGTTATTTCTGAAAACAAAATGTTTTTTTTCTCTTTTTGTGGAAGGGTACCAACACATTTTAGTCCACATCTTTACTTAATGGTTCCTTATATATAATGATGTTATCTGTTGATTTTTATACCTCCTTGAAGTTCTGCGTTAGTTATATTTTTGTCTGAGATTAAATGATGAAAAGTAAAGTAGTGGTGTTCAATTAATTATTTCTTGTTTGGTTTGTAAGTTTAAAGCTAAGGTTGCTATAACCATAAACCTGACTTTGAATATATGGCTCATTTCTTCACCCTTTTAATTGTGTATGTATTTATTTATCTATGTAGTTTGCAGTGTATTTTTTACATATTGTATTAGACAATTAAAGTATTAAACAGGCACACTGCCATCTGCAGGCCTCTGCAAGCTGAAACAAACTTTTTATAATTGAAGCCTCCATTCCTGACTTAGTGATTACCTAATAATAGGGGACTCTATTGGTTTGTTTCCTATCACTAGTGGAGACTGAAGCTGTCAGTGACAGCCGAGTTTGACAGATAGCTTTTGTGCAGAGTGTTGGCTGGTAGCTGTTAAAGGTAGAATGTGTTTTTTAATGTATCCTCAGCATGGGGCATTCTTTTTTTTCCTGCAGTGCTTGAACAGGTACTATGCTGTCCAAGTCTGGCTTACTTTAAAGGAACCAGCCAGGCTAAAAATCTGGCAGTTGTCATTGCTGAGCTATGTTTGAAAATGCATACTTTGGGTCTGTTGTTGTTATTCCTTCACTGTGTCACCTGGAATAAGTATGTGAATATCATATTGTGACGGACCTAGGGCTGCAGAGATTTATTACCCCGGAGAACTTTGTGTGCTGTGTGTGTTTTCCAGTTTAACCCCTTCGTGACGGGAGAATCTGGGGAGAGCTGGTCACTATTTGACTTTATGTGAACCATTTTTCTAAAGGCAGCAGGCTGTCTGGAGAAACCATTGTTTAGAGTGATGGGATTAAGCTCTTATCTAATTAAGACAATCCAATGCGGCGCCTGGCTGTCTAGGGGAGGGAGCTGTCAATGTAACAATGAATGCTTATCTGATTCTGTGAGGTATAAACTCTGTGTGCTCTCCTTCAATAAAGCAGTTCATGTTTCACTCCAAAGTCAGTATTGTCTGATTCTTGGGGTAAGCCCCCCATGCCATAGTCTCTGGCTTCTGGTTCCAGCACCCAGGGAACAGGCTTAAGATGGAGATATCCAGTCGGGGTATCAGGGAGTTCGTCACACATATGTCCCTGATTTTTACTGGCTGTGGGCTTCTTCCATGTCAATAACTTGAAATGTAGTGAAGCAATGATGAGCATGACAATCCCAGTGTTGCACGTTCAAAACTAAAGTGACATTAAAGGATAATCCGCCCCCCCTTACCTTAAATGATGCCTCTTGATCCGATCATCTTCTTCTTTACTGTAGTATTCAGCAATCCCTCCAGCGCTGGTGCCGGTCTCTGATTTGCGCTGACTTCTCTGTGCTAGCTGGCACTTCCTGTCCTACGGAGTCTGTGTGGGTGCACGCTGCTCCGTAGACTTACTTTGTGTCTCTCCTCATCTCCCGGCCGAAGATCTGTACTGCGCATGCGCCCGCCATAAGATCCTTTGTGGCCGCCCGAGACTCTTCAGATGTTCGGACGGGAGCGTGCGGGGAAGACACAGGTAAGTTTTAACCTGTTTGAAAAGTTGTTGTTTTTTTTAATGTTTTTTTGCATATATCTACTGCTTGCTAACAGTAGATATATGCAAAAAACTTTGAGGGTTTAATAACCGTTTAAGTCAACAAAGGCAGCTCCTTATATTTTCAAAGATTTTCTTTAAATTCTTTATGTCCATGTACGTTAGCGCTGTTACAGGGCTTAAGTGAAGCAAAATAAGAGAAACACTATTTCTTCATGGGATCTTAGCTTTTATTCTGGTTCTTACCTTCTTGTCTATGTCATGCATAAGGGGATGGACACATGATCCTAATAGTATTGGTGGTATTATTATTATTTTATTTTATTTACTTTTATTGTTTTACTGGTGGCTAATTTTTAGAAAACCAAGTGTCTTTTTTTTTAACTGTATAGAGATGGTTGTTGATTTTTTGCATTTGGGCTATGCTATGCAGCCAATTAAGGTGCACATAAAGCTTAGTAGAGTTTGTTTTTCTCTAAGGAAGAATGTAAAGATAATAAAAACATGCATTGTTTATATTACAGGAACAGTTACAAAGGGTAACAGTCTAAAATTCATGTTACCTTTGGGCACTATGTTACTTTAAATGCTTGAGTAGGGTTACAAACTGATTTCTTTTAATACCAAATAACAACAGATGTGAGCTTAGTCCTCAGGATCACAACAAGCTTGTGAACTATTTAAGGGATCAGCAACCAGGATTAACTAGAATAGCGTGCATGTGTCTAGTTTCTCAGCCTTTCTTTGTTTTTTTTTATCATACAGTTGATCTCGGTATAAAGCAACACAAATATGTACATGTAATAATTCTACATATAAAATTACTTCTTTAACTTGTATATATACTACAATGGAACCCATTTTTTTTATCTATTCCTACTTTAGAGATAGAGCTGTGAGGAATCCTGGTTCAGTATGTGAGCATCCGGCAGTGACAGATGTCCCGCCACCATCCAATAAGTGTGAAGACTCAAAAGCAGATGGTGGAGAAGAAAATGAAGTTGGAGAAGAATCAAGTCATTTGTTGTCAAAGAAGGAAATAAATAATATCCCAGAGCATTTAAATCAAAACGTCCAAGATGGGGTCAGCACTTTTCAAACTACTGAAAAGAATCCAGAAAGCAAAGGTGCTCCAGTTCAGCCATGTACCTTAGAAAAAACAGAGATGTTTGTGGAATTGTGAGTATTCAGACTTTAACTGTTTCTACAGACGCAGTCATTGGATTTTCAGTAAAACTTTTACAAATATTGTGTGTGTAGTTTGAATATAAGGGAGAGAGAGGTCACTGATAATGAAGCTGTTTTTATTGATCATCCTCTTAGAAAGAAATACCTATAATGTAAATTTTGATGTATTTAGTTATATGTTCTATTAGATTTAGTATTTTCCTTAAAGTGTAACTGCACTTTTACGGCAAGCAATCTTACAGCAGTAATCCTATTTAAAAAATGTAAGTGCTGGTATCTGCTTTTAGTATTGGGGCATTTTCACGAGTACTCGTGAAAAAAAATGCCCAGTATCACCATCGATACTCGTATTGCTATAGGTACCTCCATATTTAAAACAATTTTTTTAATGAGAAGTTTTAACAAATGTTGCTTCGTTTACTATAATTTATGCACTGATATTTGTGATTAGAGATGAAGACCTTTATCGAGATGAAGAGGAAATTGAAAAAGAAAAGACAAAGAAAGGAGTCCCTGTGTGTGAAAAAGGTACTAGAGGTATTCCATTACATATTTATTTTAAAATGGAACAGTACTTTTATTAGAATCATAAGTTCTGAATATTTCAACCCCTATTTTTATCGGAGGAGCATGGTGCTGCACCGTCCAGGGCTTCTTCTTACAGAAAGGCTGCCAGTAATCCACACAGTGCTTTGACCATCATGGAATTTGTTTATTTACCAAAGAGGTACCCTACCTCATAGCAACAAATCAAGACTCATTGAGCTGACTGGAAAGTAACAGTTTTCTGTTTTTAGTTACTGAACACTTTCCACTTCCTTATCATACAGAATCTTCAGTTTGTAGTGAAATGTCTATTGCATCACATGAATTGACAGACAGCTGACCTAGAGAGCTGCTTAGGCATGACATGCAGAGTAGGAATTGGTTGTGCAGTGTTGCTGGTTAAACCTAGTGGAGTCTTGTTCTGTTTCAGCTGCATGACTGAGGGACGAGTGACAGCTGGTGCTGCCCCCTCCTTTAAGAGTTGAGACATGCCTGTCTGTAGCAGATAACCTAATTATCACAGGGGGGAGGTGCTGAATTGTGGAATAGAATGCTAAACCCACTGCAATTCTCATACTATTATTCTTCTCTGCCTTGTTATGATAATTATATGGTAGCAGAAAGACAAATGTTAAAGTGGCAAATACTGTTGGTGAGCACAGCCATAAAATCATTTATTTGCTGGAGTTACTTGCTGGAGATATCAGCAATGCTGGACTGTAATTTAATTTGATGTATTTACATTAGAACACCAGGGTGAGATATATCTGTGGGTAAGGACTGGGTTGTTGAGAGGCAAAAATATTTAAACGTGGAAGAGTTTTTGATTATGATCTAGCTGTTTGTGCCCCAATTCGTTCTGTGTAGGTACACTGGGTCACCAGAGGTTCTCTACCAATGTGGTACGTTTCTATTGAGCTCAAGGGGTACTTCTGCTTCCTATTATTACAGTTTGAAGCAGCCTTTGTCAACTTTTTTTTACCATTGATGAACTCTTAAAATAAAGTTAGGTGTCAGGAAACCCCTGCAAACTTTTTCTTTTTTAGTTTATCTGCCACTTCTCTAATGTGAAACCTGTTCTTTTCTGCTGCACAAAATGAAATGAAGAATAGTAATAATGCCCAGAAAGGAATACGGACAATAAATGTTGTAGGTTCCCCACACTACGTAAACCCCTGCTCAAGAAACCCCTAATGACCTCTGTAGGAAGCCCAAGGTTCTATGGGACCCTGGGAGAATGGATGTTTTAAAGGTTTAGCAGGTGGTATATGAAATAGATATCCAGAATTAAGTTTTGATTATTTAACCCTTTTGCTGTCAGGTCCTGCTCTCCACTTTAACCTCAGCTGGCCAGACCATTTTTGCAATTATTCACTTTTTCTTTTTTTAAATTTCTCACTTACCGATTTCAGAGTAAAAGAAAGCACAGGACCTGTAAAATAAAAATATGGCAATGGTGCTACTGATACACACACAAATACAACATGGCTTCCAAAATTCTTACTTAGGCTTCATTCACATAGACATGCACAGCCGTACAGCGTCTGTGCAGAAACCTATGTCCGGGAGGGACAGGTGCTGCAAGTAGCTGTATGTACATGCTGACCTGAACTTGCACATCCATGTACGGATGCACTCCCTTGGGGAAAAAAAAAAATTTGAAAGAGAGTGGGTTTAATAGTGGGTGCAGTGTGGTTGTCAATTTACACTGTGGGTTGTTGCTGTCAGGCTAATAACCATAGACATTGTAAGGATGGATGTCCATGTAAACCTATGTAGAGGCTGGTTGTTGAGAGGTTATAAAAAAGACTACCCCTTGAGTAAATAGGCCCCTGTAGCTCATTACAATTCTGATACAACTAGGACAGAATAATTAATGTGCTGGATGGAAAGTTGTATACATACATGTATCAACACTCCATATTATAGCATTTCTGAAGCTTGTGAAAAAAAATGTAAACACTATCCAGCTCACCTGACAGATAAATGTAGTGCACAAGCATTATTGAACTTCATAGAAAAAGAGATCCCTTGGGCAGCTTACATTAAGACTTTAAACATTTTTCAAATCTGTACACGCAATCCAGAGTGTTTCCATTAGTCAGAAGTAATCATTGGCAACTTCTGGGGAAACCTACATATCCAAATTGTCACAGGTAGTGGTAGCTTAATCGTTGAACCCAGGTTCCATTTGATAAGCTTTCAATTTGTCTATTTACTTACGAAGCAGTTGTGCACTAAATAGTTCTGTGGAGTGGGCTACTGTGTATCGTGCAGGTAAAACAAAACAAAAATTCTATAATGTATTTTCTTTTTTTTTTTGGCAGGTGACCCTAAACTAGGAGTGGGGCCAGAAGTTGACATCATAGAGTATTGCAAAAGGGAATGGAGAGGCAAAACTCCTGTTGCAAAGCAAATGAGGGAGGTGAGATCCCATGTTATTTTCTGCCAAATAACTCATCTACTAAACAAACAAAGCAAGTTCAAAACAGTCCACCATTATCCTCCTTAAACTGTTCTTTTAATTTCTGGTAGGTGCTGGGAAAGGATTAGGGAGTTAAACAGCTGTTTCTTATTACTTGGTGAAATCTCTGTGCTTGAGTTCCCAGGTTTCCACATCCACAGCACCTGCCCTAAGGGGTTCTTGCATACTTCAAAGAAAGTTATATTTTATACTGTTGTGAATGCTCTTTGGGATGTGGGAACCCCCAAATGTGGGCAGGATCACCTCTAAAATTGGTGTGAACAAAGCCAGACACTTTCATGAGGATGTCTCATTGCTAGAGTGCCCAACAACTGTAAGAAGCTAGCGGGTGTCTTTGGGGCCAGACATCGCCTCAGTGGCGTAACAATCGACATAGCGACCCAGGCGGCCGCTATGGGGGCCGGGCACAGGCGGGCCCGGCTAGGGCATCCCTCTTAAGCCGTGTGGGCCGCCTGGGTCGCTATGGCATGTAAGGGTGCTTGCTGTCACTGACACAGCACCGCCGCGGCTGTGAAGATTACTGACAACCTGTCAGTGATGTGTGCAGCGGCCACGGTGTGTTTCCCCTCACAGCCGCTGCGGAGCTGTGCCAGTGACAGCCAGCAGCTGCGGCAGAAGAGGCCGGCGTTCGCAGTGAAGGAGAAGGTGGTGCCCGCCTAAGAGCAACCCCGCCTTCTCTTACATCACTGGCCAGCGACCTAAGAGCAGGCGGGGCCAGTCGATAGAGGAGGCGGGGCCCGGCGACCACGGAGGCGGACAACGCTGACAGGTAAGAGGTGTGCAGCCCATCTGAGACCCTGCAAAGCCCACTATAGAGAGTCTATGGTGGGCTCTGCAGGGTCACTCTCAGGTGGGCTGTTTGGTATATCAGGTGGGCTCTGCAAGTGTCATAACTAGCAATCACGGGGCCCCATACAAAATTTTGCTATGGGGCCCTGTTATTTCTAGTTACGCCCCCGGCATCACCTGTAACGGAAATATTAGAGTAGGATTATGGGAGCCAAGTTTTTTTCGGGCTGAGACCTACGCAGATATGACATACCCCTGACAGGGGTTTTAACCATAACGTTCTGTATTCAAAACTATAGAGAGATAATTATTAGATATGCAATGTTGGCATTTCACACTTTCAGTCTCCATATTTATTTTGAATAATTATCCTTAAGAGCCCTGTTTAAATCCTGAAGCCATGGTTATGTGGCTATCAACAATGGAATTCTCTTCTTTTCACTCCTGGATGGTGGGGAAGTGCTGTTGGCACCACCAATGTCATATCCTGGTGATGGTTGTTGGATTCTGTACTGCATTTCCCAAGATCCAACTGGGGGGGGTTCCGTTTTTTTTTGCACTCAGCTTATTGATCTATCAGCCAATTCTGAGAGCTTCCTCTTGGAGGGCGTGGGCAAGCATTACTCTCACAGTGCTGCCAGGGAACTCCTAGAACTATTGACATTATGATATCACCCCCTCTTTGAAAAATACAGAAGGGCAGTTAAGTAACCAGTTGATTATGCAAAATTAGCTATGGCGACTGATGACCCAATATCACAGAAAGAGGTACAGCTGATAGTCACATGACCATGGCTATGCAATAAAAAATGCCATTGGTGAGTGTTTTTTTCAAATATATGGTTATTTGTTTATACTAAACAATAGGAGCAGATCATTGTAGATTTTATTTTTTTTTCTACTTGGCAGGGGGTCAGTTTGAATAAATTAATGTTTCCCCTAATCATAGGCCTCTTAATGTAGGTTTTTCCTGAGCTTCATTGACACTGTGGTACTCTAAAAAATTTATTTTGTAACTGTGTCAAAGCTTTTAATGGATTATTTCATCACTTGGCCCTTTTTGGACTTTATGTAAATATGGTCCAGCTATTTAGGGTCTCTTTCAATAAAATAAAAACATGTTTTTACATGTAAAAACATGTTACAGTCCTGTCCAAAAGTTTTGAGAATTACACAAATATTAATTTTCACAAAAGTCTGCCGCTTCAGTGTTTTTAAGATCTTCTGGTCAGATGTTACTATGGTATACTGAAGTATAATTACAAGCATTTCATAAGTGTCAAATGCTTTTATTGACAATTACATTAAGTTTCTGCAAAGAGTCAATATTTGCAGTGTTGACCGTTCTTATTCAAGACCTCTGCAATTCGCCCTGTCATGATGCCAATCAACTTCTGGGCCACATCCTGACTGATGGCAGCCCATTCTTGCATAATCAATGCTTGGAGTTTGTCAGAATTTGTGGGGAGTTTTTTTGTTTACGCACCTCCTTGAGGATTGACCACAAGTTCTCAATGGGATTAAGGTCTGGGGAATTTTCTAGCCATGGACCCAAACTTTCAATGTTTTGTTCCCCAAGCTACTTAGTTATCACTTTTGCCTTATGGAAAGTGCTCCATCATGCTGGAAAAGGCATTGTTCATCACCAAATACTTGAATGGTTGGGAGAAGTTGCTCTTGGAGGATATTTTTGTACCATTCTTTATTCATGGATGTGTTCTTAGGCAAAATTGTGAGTGAGCGCACTCCCTTGGCTGAGAAGCAACCCCACACATGAATGGTCTCAGGATGCCTTACTGTTGGCATGACACAGGACCGATGGTAGCGCTCACCTTTTCTTGTCCGGACAAGGTATTTTCCAGATGCCCCAAACAATCGGAAAGGGAATTCATCAGAAAAAAAATACTTTACCCCAGTCCTCAGCAGTCCAATCCCTGTACCTTTTTGTAGAATATCAGTCTGTCCCTGAGGTTTTTCCTGGAGAGAAGTGGCTTCTTTGCTGCCCTTCTTGACACCAGGCCATCCTCCAAAAGTCTTTGCCTCACTGTGCGTATAGATGCACTCACACCTGCCTGTTGCCATTCCTGAGCAAGCTCTGCACTGGTGGTGCCCCGATCCTGCAGATGAATCAACTTTAGGAGATGGCCGTGGTGCTTGCTGGACTTTCTTGGGCGCCATGAAGCCTTCTTCACAACATTTGAACGTCTCTCCTTGAAGTTCTTGATGATCTGATTGATTTAGGTGCAATCTTAGTAGCAGCAATATCCTTGCCTGTGAATCCTTTTTTTGTGCAAAGCAATGGCGACTGCACGTGTTTCCTTGCAGGTAACCATGGTTAACCGAGGAAGAACAATGATTTCAAGCACCACCCTCCTTTTAAAGTTTCCAGCCTGTTATTCTAACTCAATTAGCATGACAGAGTGGTCTCCAGCCTTGTCCTCGTCAACACTGACACATGTGTTAACAAGAGAATCAGTGACATGATGATGTCAGCTGGTCTTTTTGTGGCAGGGCTTAAATGTAGTGGAAATGTTTTTGTTTTTTTGTAGGATTAAGTAAATTTTCATGGCAAAGAGGGACTTTGCAATTAATTGCAATTGATCTGATCACTCTTCATAACATTCTGGAGTATATGCAAATTGCCATTATACAAACTGAAGCAGCAGACTTTTGGCCACGACTGTATACCTACTTAAACACTTTTTTATTATGGTATGAAACCATAACTTTACTATGTCCTGCACTATAAAGGTTTTCTTGCTATTTCTTAGCTTAGTTCTTAAGCATAGCTTCCATTGTTCACAACATCCTGTTTGTTGGTGACTTCTTAATTAGGCTTTCTGCAACTCACTGTTGTAAGTTATGCTTGGTTGAGGTTCCTCGGTTTTACCTACTGAGGCTACCTATGGTATTTTCTACACTAGTATTGTTAATTTTAGGCTTGTTTATGTACTTAGCAAGTTGGCCACATGGGAAAGCCTCCTCTTCATTTTTCATTTTCCTCTATGGGCCACTCAAGGGTAATGATGCTACATTACTTTTACTGTCCCTTACTTCTCCCTAGCTATTGATTACACAGCTCTATTACTAGAGGGAGTGCTAGTCCAGTGCTGAATTAAAGGATTTGAAGGGTCCATAGCCTTGCATTATACGAGAGTATGCTGAGGGACAGTCTACTAGCTGGAATGCAGGAGGGACCAGGTAATCGTGGACTGCCGGGGGTCAGGGAAGTAAAGTCCTTTACACAGGTCCCCTAGATATTAACAAGTCGCTATTCCTTGCAGTACAGGGGTAACCCCGCTGCAAGGGGAAGTTCTTTTTTCCTCCCAGAAATAGACTTTAAAGAGATCTCTACACCACTGATACTGATATTGATCACGTTCTTATAGTACTTGTGGACAAATGGTCGTAATTTTTAACTGCTATGATCTGTGAATAGATTGCCAGTTTTGCTTTTGCAAGGTTCTCCCGTCAGTACTCATGTTTAGGCATCTTGATTAAGGTGCTGGAATGCAGAATTCCTGTATAAGAAGCACTTGTTCAGCATGGTCTTAGAAGAACGGCATCTGTTCAGATCAATTCTAAATATTATTTATCTTGGATGCTAGTGGCAGCAATAGCACCCATCTTCATCTAGGCCAATGGAATAGACTACTAAGTCTACCCAACCTCCATGGCCCTCCTGACTGTTGAAAGCGCTGTTATTTTTTCTCCTTGTTTAGACATCCAAGGCTGATTCCCACTTCACCTTTAAGGTCTGGCGCTCAAAACCATAATATCTCTTGAACAAGCCTCCCTCCTCTTCAAGGTTTGTCTCCACTTTTAAGAGTAGGGGGACGTTTTTTAACCTTTGAGGACACTTGGACAACTTGCATCTCTAATGCTTGAGTGCAGGTGGTAGTAACCCAGAACTTCAAACTCAAAACCTCTGGGTTTCTCACCTTTAAAAATTTGGATCTCACCACATGGCTAAGTAGATCCCCATCAAACTCTCTTGTGTTTTCTGGATGAAGGTATTATTACCCCAGTTCCTTTGGCAGAATGTTTTAAGAGTTTATACTCAAACTTTTTCACTGTTCCCATACCCATTGGATCTTAAAGTTTCCTCCCTTTCTTTCTTGGTTCAGAAGGTTTTGGCCTCTATCTCCGTGGTTGGGACCTTTTGTGTAGGCAGTCTCTAATCAAGCTCCCCACTTCTGTTCCCCTGTGACATCATGGGATCTAGATCTGTTGTCTCTGCGCTTCAAAAACCACTGAACCTACTCTAAACCTACTCTCACCCATGAGGTGATATTCCTTCTAGCCAATTACTTTTCCTGTCTGGTTCCAATTCACCCAAAGGAACCTCTCTTATTGTCTGCATGTAGTTTGTACTGTAAGAATATATTTCTAAGCTATGGTATCATTCAGGAAGACAGAATCTCTTTTTGTTATACAACATGAACCCCTGAAGGGGGCTTCGTCTTCTCGTTCCACCATCTTTATGAGGCTAACACAGACCATCATAGAAACGTATGGTCTAAAGAATCCTGTTCCACACTTTTCTGCCAAACCGCACATGACTGAGGTGCCTCTGCGTCTACCAGGTGAGCTGAATTAAAACAATAGATGACACTAGCTATATAGCCCCCTGTGTGCAGTTGATCCTCTTCATTTAGGTTTTCATTTCAAAACTGAGGTCTGGTGACAGAGTCTCTACATTTTCTGTAACTTAATGATTATTGTCCTTAGATAACGTAGCTGTTTTTCAACTCCTCCAACAAATAGATTGATGGTATTATAAATAGTGTCCTGCATCATCTGAACACTTGGTGGCAGTATTTATACACATTTAAAAAAAATAAAGCTGAGCAATCATTGCTTTCTCTTTTGCCTGTATTACCTATGGAGATTACACTGTAGATATTTTTGGTTCTATAAAGAAAGCAGCTAAATATGCCTTTTTTTTATGAACGGCACCTGGAGTATAGGCAGCCTTAGATTTTATTTCAATTTTACACTTTGCCATCAGTATTCTTAATGCTGTTGGGATCTTTGTAGAGGTTCCCATTTTAACAGTGGACATTTTTACTGGTTCCTTAAATAGCGTGTTTTTTTTCTCTCTCAATTGTTATTTTTATGTTAATTTAGAAAGTCCATAGTAGAAGCTGATGTCTGGATAGAATTAAAAATAAATTAAAAAAAGAAAGAAAAAAGTAAATTTACTGCAATACATGCATTTTCCCTATTTTCCACAAGTACTGAAAAGTACCTGTTGATCTGCCAGAGATCCAGTGAACTCCTTAATTCCTCTTTAACCTTTGCTGAAATCCCAAGCAGTGTAGTTAGCCATGCCCCTACTGGACTACAGAACGACTCCACTTCATCTCTATAATCCCTCCTTGTTCATATCTTCTGCACACTCCCTCCCACATAAGCTGTATGCTGTGTGTCCAACCTTTGTCGCTAATTGAATTAATTGGATTGCCTGCTTGCGTCAAAATGAAACTCCTGCTGCTCCCTCCAGAAAACAATTAACAGCAAAGCGGGACAAACAGCAAGTAGGCTGTGCTCCTCATGGGAGGAATTGGAGAAATATCAGAGACAAACTTTGTCTCAATTGGAATGCAACCAATCTGCTTTTAGATTTTCTTTTTCTAAGCTGTGTGGGAAAACATGAAAGATAGAACCTGAATGGTTGCTATGGGCAACCGTACCAGTTGAGCTACATTATTATTATTATTATTACATAGTATTTATATAGCGCCAACAGTTTGCGCAGCGCATTACAATATAAGGAAGACATTACAGTTACAATACAATTCAAGACAAGATGGTAAGGAGGGCCCTGCCCCTGAGGGCTTACTAGAACTTGTCTTAGACACTTGTTATTAATTCCCTCCATATGTTTAACCAGTTCACCTCCGGAGCAATTTTCCTCAAATGTTCATTTTGTGTTAAGAAATTTTCTTAAAGTGAAAGTAAAAGAGGAAAAAGGAGCCCCTAGAGCTTTTAGCCATAATGTGTTAATATGAACAACATATTCGCACATTATGGCAGACATACCTGCTAAACCAAACCCCTCCAGAGCTGAACTCCTCCCTCTCTGGCACACACATATTCGTCTTGGTCTTCTTTCAGGTTATTATTCTTCAGCCGCTTGATTGGCTGGGACATGGTGATGTAACTCCTACCCATGTTGGAGCACTATAACCATCCATATCACTTTTACATAAAAAGCTGTTTGCTGCTGGCTGAGCAAAACAGAAAAAAGCTCATGGCTGCTGATGCAGGTCAAAGATTTTTTAAAACCCCTTGAAGCCTGGGCATGCTAGACATGTCCAAAGAGATCAAAGGGATAAGACCCTTTCCTTAACACTCCCCAGGCGCCCATATGTTCAAGTCCTAGGTTTAAAGAGACACAGAAGGAACTGGGAGCATGTGAATTATTCCTCTTTCTCCCAATTGACAGCATTGATACTTGGTGATTGGCATCACACACTGTTACAGTGGCAGGGACAGAATGCTCAGCCCTATGTAAGCTTCAAGATGCGACTTGGAGTTTAAACATGGCATTCTGTCGTCTTTCAGCTGTCAGAGTGGTGGTGGGGTGAAAGGAGGGCAATAGTACAGGTTCTGTTTAAAATAAGCAAGGCATGTGTCTATTAAAACTGTAAAATGTCATAGATATTGACCATATTTATTTGTTAGTGAGGTAACTAAGCTTAAATAAAGGTATATCTGGCATTTATAAACATGGAGAAGAGGTGCAAGTAATGTTCCTCTAAATAGTTGATCTTTCTAACTCTTCCAGGGTTATGAAGAAGTGGCTCACAATTTTGGTTCTATAAGACAAGTTAGAGGAGATAACTACTGTGCCTTAAGAGCTACATTATTTCAGTGTCTTAGTCAAACTACAGAGCTTCCACACTGGCTGGACAATGCCGATTTAATTCAGGTAAGTTCCTTCTTTTTTAACTTCCTTTTGCAAGGTTACTTTTACGTGAAATATCTGGATTTAGTTATTGAATTATTGAACCGCTGTCTTGTTAGCGCTAAGCCTCACCTACTATGTGGTATATGGTACAGAAAGCTGCACAATCACTCCGCACAAGTGAGCAAGTGGTTGGAACTGTTGTTCCTGCCAACAGAAAAGAGGTACAGTAGATCATATGTGACCTTGTATGCCCATTCTGCTACCTCTGCCCTGCATTGGTTGGTTGCTTGTTACTCCAATCTGTTTACCTTACATCCGGAATCTATTTTTGCTGCATCCCTATTCCTAGCCACAGTGTGATCCTGTGACATTAAAATTTTGTGTGTGATTTATTTAGCTAACTCTTTTTACCTGCCTTCATCATAAATGTCCATACTGTCCTGTGCCTCATAAGATGATATCCTGATGCACCTTCCTTCCCTTTTATTTCACCCTTAGCTCCTTTTCCAGGCAGTACCACCATCCACCCCAGTCTTTTCCCTTATTAACTCTCATTCCCACAACACTATGATTGACTCCCACTTTTTATTCCTACACCATCAAGTCCCATTCCTCACACCCTGCAAGCATCACCCACTGGTACTCTCCACTCGGTAGTTCAAACTCCACACCCCACAATCCCCATTTCTACTCCAGCATCAACTCTTATTCTACATTTTCTGCTCTTGTATTTTCCTCTTGAATAGACCACACAGTACAATAATGAAATACTATTTTTGAGAAACCACATAGGAGTCAAGGTGTTCACACACATTTCAATCTGTTTATGCCTGTGAAAAATTAAATTGCATGTAGATATGGTTGGATCATTTTAAAAATCATATGGAAAACATCTGTAGTTTTGTAGATCATTATTTTAACTAAATTAAAAGATAAGCACGGTTTTCCAAAATAGCTCCAAAGTTATGCAAAATGCTTGTGTGCATGCCGAAGATTAAAGTGTATGTATAGCCAAAACCCTTTTCTGCCTAGGTAGATTTACCCTTTTATTTCTCCTGGTGGTAAAAAAAAATGTTTTGCCTATACATATACTTTAAGATCAGAATTTGAAACAAGAAGAACATGACATGTCCTCTATATCCATAAAATAATTATTGAGAACCATTATAGTGTTGAAAACCATTACAAGTGTTAATCTGATGGATAAGTGCAAAACAAAAAAAATCTGGTAATCATGCTTAAAATCTAGTGAGCTTACAAATTACTGTGCATTGTTTTCCAAAAACAGTATCAACAATGGTTCACCCCTGTAAACTACAGAAAACCCCCTATGGTGAGGAAAGGGGGAAGTTTTCTGTAGTCCTACCACTCCTCCTGTCTTAGAGTGACAATGCCGCTCCTCTGTTAATAAAGTAAAGCGAGTGTGTGCGTTGTTACCCTAGGACAGGAAGTGTACTGGTAGAAACAGCAGATGAAAATAAAAGTCTGAAAAAGAAAACCAATGCAGCCGTCATATCTTAGGACTGGTAAGCTGAAATATTATATGTATACCACATAGCTAAAAAAACTGAAAGCTATCCAAGCTTTTATGATATACTACGGTATCTTTTCATTTTGCCCTTTGAAAGTTGGAATACTTCTGCAAGGCCAGAATGTACTAGAGTAACCAGTTCTATTGTTCATTGAATCCAGTTATTCCAAGCATTTAGCCCACGTTATTTTCCACTTTGTAATTGTCTGTGATGTTTGTATAGCAGTGTTTTTAAAGACACACAGATTATACTCTATTTGTATAATAAATTCAATATGTGTGTAAATTGTTAATTTTATGCTAATCCATTTTTATACAGTGTTTTTTTTTTTTTATCTTTTGCCACTGCTTAAAGTGTCAGAGGACAATTTATTGAGCAGCGGTATGGTATAACCATTGTGATACCACTACATTTCACACAAAAATAATACTCCAGCACATTTATAATGCACAACGTTGTGCTAACTGCCACCAGGCAATCCTGATCACACTTACCCTGTGCCTACTGCATCCTGTACTTGAACCTTCTGCATATTTTGGGTACTGCCTTTAAAAGTGATGGGCATCCAGAGCAAATGTGTTGAATATGGCCACTACTTTCCATTGTGCTCACAATGGGTAGAGTATAGTAGGGCTGAAACAAATAATCAATAATGAGAATCATTGCCAACAATTCTTATTCTTGATTAGTTGGTCTGGATCCCCTGCTTCTCTCCACTACGCTGGTAGCTGGTCTTTCATCGGCTCTGTTTCCCCTCCGATCCGAGGGGACACAGACTTCTGCCGTCAGTGCCCAGAGCTGAGCAGGGCTCCCTTCAAACCACCCCACCGCAGCTGCATTGGCTCTGCTCTCACCTCCCTGCAGTTCTCTCCTCCCCGCTGGGAGTCCACTGCATGCTGCGCTCTGTGTCTCCTCAGATCCCCGCTGCTCTCACCCACCTGTATCAGCAGAGGCAGTGGGAATCGGAGGGGGGGGGGGCCAACAGTGCCATGTCAGGAGCAGGACGGTGCAGGGAGAAGAGCTGTGGGATGATCAGCAATTATGTGAAATATTTGCTTATCGTTACCTGTAATATTGAAACATCACTGTGATCAGGAAGCGCTCTACATCACGTCCTGTTCATTCATGATTGTGGACACAGCATCTGTTTACCTTCTCCTCGATTTTTGACAAATACTGGTGCAGGAGGTGCGTTGCCTTGCCATTCATTTCAGGAGCCGGCTTTCTGGCCAATCAGGAACCGGAGGGGAGGGCAATGACTCGGCGCCCGGCTTCCTGATTGGCCAGCTTCCCGACCAATCTGGAAAACGGGCAGCAAGTCATTACATGCCGTCTGGCTTCCTGATTGGCTAGGAAGCCGGCTCCATGCTCCCTCATCACTAGGGATGCACTACAATGTTGGCCTTCTAAACATTTCGGACGAAAATGGTAATATAGGCAAAATGCCAATAGTACCAAAATGGGCGAAAATGCGGCTGAAAATTCAGTGCATCCGTAGCTACTCTCCTCCATGCTGCGTGCCGGTGTCCCCTGTGCTCTCCCAGCCTGTGTCGGCAGAAGCAGCGGGGATCGGTGGGGAACAGAGACCAGCGCCCAGTGGGGAAGAGATAAGCTATCAGGATGCCGAGTGGGGAGGAGACAACTGTCAGCTGTCACAGGAGGCCAAGCTCTCCTCCTCTACCACCCCGCTTAGCCTCCTGTGACAGGCGAGTCAGGATTGAGAGCAGGTTATGAGCACTCGTCGATCAGGACTGATCGCCTAGTGTTGGTAAATAACTAAGGACATAGCATGCTTACTGTATCCCCAGTTATAAATGAACAGGAAGTGCTCTACATAACTGATACTATCTCCACAGTTTATGAACAGAAAGGAACACTCAGTATAGAGTATTCCCGTTCATTCATAACAGAGGCTGCAGAAAAAGAGATGTTTTCTCAATCTGTTTTTCTATTTTAAAAGGGAAATATCAGAGGTCTGTTTGGACCCCTGATATTACCCCAAAGCCCCCGACAGTAAACTAAAAAATGAATAAAGATAAAATAATTTAAAGATAATTTTAAAAAGGTTGGTGAAATAGTCATTTTTAGTTTCTGTCTGACATTTTTTTGGTTTTGGTCTAAAAATTTCATTTTGACGCATCCCTACTTTTAACACATCTAAACATTTTAAAAGCAGAAAAGAGTTATACTCCTAAATTACACTAAAGCATAACACTTCCAAAATGCTACAGTGTTAATCCAACCTTTATGCTTCTATCATCATCTGCACCACCCTGTGGGACTGGGTTCACACTTACAGTACATACGTTTTAATGTAAACATTGAGGCTTGTGACTTCAGCTTTAAAGTTCAGGATACCCTGAGCCTCTAGGACCTGAAAACCTTGCTATCCACCTGAATAACAGACACATACTTTGACTTTAGTGGCAGCACCTATAGTGTTGAATGGACTAAGATAGCAAGGTTCACAGGAACAGCATCTATTCAGGTCCCAAGGGGCAGGGGAACACTTGCTTTTTTGGTTATAGGGCTTTGAAGTAGTCACGTATTGCAGCTACGCCTGATGCACACCTTATCAGGATTATTGAATACAAGGTGAGCTAGACATTCGGGCTGGGAGTGGAAGTGTAGACTCGGGGGTGAAATTAAATTTATTTCTTTCTTTGAGCACAGCCAGATATGGGGGGGATCTCGAATAACGAGCAGCAGGATATATATGGCATTGGGACCTATGGAGGTTGCAGTGAAATGTGACATTTGGAACACTCATATTTGGCCACTGTTGCTTCTTTCTAAGAATTACCTTATTCCTAGAAAGAAGACATTGATCATTGTCACACTAACATTTGTGTATTCGAATCTTTGTGTTCTCTACTACACACGACCCCAGTCTGCATACTGACCTGTACTTCACACAGCAGCACTCTGTCCACTGTACTGTATGTGCAATATGCCACACAGCTCCACTCTGCACAATGTAGGGTCTTTTTTATAGTTGACTCCACTCCACTCTGTACATTGAATATCGTAGTTGCCAAACCACTGCACTCTCTAAACTGTGCTGTACATTTTACTCCACACACTGCTCCATACATTATGTTGTACATACTATACTGCACACTGCTCTACTCTGTATTCTGTGTTGTATATTCTATACTGCACACTTTCTGCACGGTTTACATTTTATATCACACACTGGCCAACTATGTACACAGTGCTGCATACTATTCAATTATTAAGGGGTTAAAAATGAACACAAGTTTATTTCTTTTTTCTTACTTATAAGGTTGCTTCAACTAACATGTCATGCACATCAGAAGTTTTTTTGTTATTTTTGGGGCTGACCATTAAGTCGAAATGACAGGTCAGTCTGCCTGGGCTGTCATTTTTTAATTTTCATGCCATAAGTGGCATCGGCCAGGACTTTGACAAAGTTTATTTTGCCTTGCGCACAGTGGTGTGAAACACACGCTCGCGAAGCTTGTGTGTGCATGTCCGTTGGTGCGTGCCTGTTCCTCCTGCTCCGGTGCTGCTATTGATTGGTAGGAAGTCTGAAGCATATTAGGACTAGATATGTTGTTATGCTTCTTTACACATATACTATTATGATCCTGTGGGTGATCTGTGCTGCTCTCTAACCTAATCTCTGGTTAGTAGCCACAGATAATAATATTTCAGTTCCTTGTGCTTCTTACAGGTCCCAAATCAGAACTGCCTACATCCACAATCATTCTGAACCCCTGTTCTCCTCGGACACTTTTTTGCCCATTTTTTTTTTCTATTTGATGATTTTATTAGCTTGTAGATTGTGTTGAAAAGATTATCCTCATGTTATACTATGTGTGTGCCACAGCTTAGGATGCTATCCAAGTTAAGGTCAGATGACCCTATTTTCTGTTCAGATCCACGGGGTGCTCTGGCCTAAGTGCTGCTTGGTGGAACAGTAGTGTCGGAAGGCCTTGTTACACCCTATCCTTCGCAGGAGACTATCGTTTCTGCTCTTTGCTGCAAAAAATTTATCCCAACAGAGCAAAACTAAGGATCAATGATGGAGCTCGACACTTTCTTATCCTACATCAGAACTTTAATTTTCTTTTCCATAATAGCTTTCACTTGGACACACAAGCCTTTTGGGCTCAGGGGCTTCTCAACATTCTTGGCAAACCAATAATTCCGAACCTGCAGAAAAATCCACCACCCCTTGATGATCTGCCCTCACCAGTTCCATCAGAGGTGATGGGAAGCCAAATGGCTTTTGCAGAGTTTTGGAAAACCACTTAGCTGACACATGAGTGCAGGATGTAGATATTTGTGTCTTTTCATGTCTTAGCAATGTCAAATGGGCCTTCTTACTGCCATTTAGGGATTGTTCAACGGGGGGGGGGGAGTTTTATCGACTCCAACCAAGATCTTTCTAGGGTTTTATTGAAACCTGTTTACAGTTCTGAAACTCAAAGGAAGCATTTTTTTTATTAATAGGATTTACAGTTCCAGTTCATTGGCGAGTCCCTTGCTTTGCCACGGGCAAAATCCACTGTTAAGCTGGCTATACACCTATAGATTAGATTATCTGCAGATTTTCTGTGGTCAGCTGGAAAAAGTGCAACAGATTCCTCCATCTATGCTAAATGGTGTGGATAGAGGAATCTCCCACTGGACCAAGCCTCAGTATCTTGCTAGTCGACCCTGTTGGCTCTCAAAATACCTGAACAATGCATGCATCCAATCATGAGTTCGCCCTCTAAATGGAAGTTCCGGTATCGGAGCATTTGGACGAATACTCGCCCAAATATTCAGTATCGTCACCAATACCGATACTAGTATCAGTACATCCGTATCTGTACTATCCTACTCCTTTGCAATGTAGACGTGTAGCGAGCCACTGGCATGCTGCTAAACTGCAAGCTCGCTGCCTACCAACACAGTTCGGTAACACCCAGCCTTAATCGGTGCTTGTTTTAAACTTTTTGTCATTGGGTTCTCCTTCTGTCAACATATATGACCACCTTGGCTTTCCAGTATCAATGTAATGTTTATAAACACTTTAAAAATGCATTAATGTATATACTTTGTATTTCCTAAGCTTAGATTTTTTACTTAAAGTGATATTTGTGTTTTTCTTCACAGTTGCCTGAAAAACTTAATAAGACATATGATTGGATTAAACAGTGGCGGTTTTGGAATTCCTCTGGAAGCAAAACACCTTGGTTACGGATAAAGGAATGCTTGGAAGTGCTTAAAAAAAAGGTACGCATAGAGAAACGTTAAAAAAAAAAATTAGCTTGCATAAATAGAAAAAAAAATGCCTAGTTCGATTGGGTCACTCTTCACTTATAACTTGTCATAACCATAAGCTGAAAAGGACCTGATGATTCATTTTCATTTTTTTTTTCTTTTGTAAGTCATATAATGTTGCTATGGATGTGTATAACATAAATGTCTACAGATTTACATTTTTGTCATATCCTTAAAATGACACTAAACTCAGGATTTAAATCTTAAAAATGCATTCCAGTACCTTAACTATTTACAAATATGTAGCTTCTGTGTGTATTACTTGGTTGTAGATCCTCAAATCATCTCTGAATTGGTGCTGACATTCTTGTTCTTCCTTGTGGAGGGTGGCTACTTTTGTTCCCCATGGTTCCTGTGTATGTGTGTTGTAAAGTAGCCACCACTCCAAGCTCGCTCCCAGGATGGACTACAATCTCACGTTTAGTTTACTAATTTGTATTGAGATTGTTGTAGACAATGTCATTCGATACCACACTTATTCTAGAAGAAAAAGGTTAAGGTGCATATATAGCATAATGCTAGAGAAACTGATGTGGACACAAGAGCATCTGTATAGCAGTTTCTACTTTATTAGAATAAACAAGTGATATTTATTTCCATAAGCATTAATAATTATTTCTGTATATTGGGTATATTGTGAGATTATCATCATGTGAAAATTGTTTTAAAACTTAAGCTATGTGTCCTCTGCTCAAAACAATCATTATCGGCAGGATGTAACCTAAGCAAAACCACAAGTTCCCAAAACAAGGGAAAAAAATACAAAAGTTCGACAAAAGTTAAACTGAAGTGTGCTAAAGGTTGCTAAAGGTTGATATATGTTAAGTAGTGCTGTAACTGAGTGCTCTGAGTGTCCATAATATCTTTGTCAATTGTAGTCCCTTCACAGGAGTGAGCTTGGAGCAGTGGCTACTTTAGAACACACACAGGGACCATGGGGAACAGATGTAGTCACCCTCCAGAAGGAAGGGCAGTGTCAGCACCAATTCAGAGATGATTTGAGGATCTCCAGCTGAGAGATACACAAATAAATTACATTATTGTTAATGGTTAGGATACTTGAATGCATTTTCAAGATTTCCTTTCTGAGTTTCATGTCACGTCAAAGTGCATCTTTGCCCATACTATGGACATCAAAGTATTTACATATTTTTAACGTGCAGTAAAATTATTTAAAACCAGCTATCCCTGACCTCTTGAGCTGCTTTTAAGTTATTCATTCTCAAGGAGCCTCCAAGATCACAACAAGTCAGCCGGCATCCCAGATGTTTGGGTGCGAGAGGTAATTGCAAATTTTGTATGGATGTTTCTCCTGCACTCCTTTCAGCGTCTAGAGCCAAATAGTTATTGTGGTGCTCGTAGTGATAAACACAGATGGCGCCGTGTATCTTCAAATTCGGATAAGAGGAAGGTCACCAGCACTCGAAAAATATTGTTTTTAGATCTTGCTGATCGTTTATTGATGTCACATATAGTGTGGAAAATAATGATTTGATCCCCTGCAGATTTTGTAAGTTTGCCCACTTACAAAGAAATGAAAGGTCTATAATTATTATCATAGGTGTATTTTAAATGATAGAGGCAGAATAGCAACCAAAAATCCAGAAAAAACACATGATACAAAAGGTTATACATTGAGTTGCAGTTCAGTGAGTAAGTATTTGATTAGCTGAGGCCATTAGAATTCAATCTCCCTCCACTGTCTGGATGCAGTTGGTGCTGTGCATCATTGTGTAACTTGCAGCTACTGCTTCCATTAGAAAGACTGACTCTTTTTGTCATTCCTGATGGTCCTCGTAAAGAGGAACCTGCTTCTCGCTCCACCATTTCTCGGTTTTCTCGGACAGATCATCATCTAAGTTATGAAGTTAAGGATTGGGTTCCACCCCTTCATTTTAGGGAACACTCTGCTAGATCTGAGTTTTTGGGTTTTTCTGCATCGGGCTGTTTCTCAGTTTTGCAGTTCCTGTGTCCCTCAATGAACGCTAAAGAAAATGGGATTATTGTACTTAATGTAAAATCCATTCCTTGTAGTTCATTGAAGGACACAGGTTCCACCCCTCAATGTCTATGGTCATGCTCATAGTACTACTTTTACAAAAAACTGCAGGCATGTTGGGAGTAGGAGGGGTTATACCAGGCTGACCACAATTGTGTCATTCTCAGTATTTCTACCTAAAGTTCAGCTTCAAGGAATGTGGTATAATGCATCTCTAAATGTAAAATGCAAGGATCCTGTAACCATGCCATAGCACAAGGCCATAGGACTTGTAACGTCAAGCTGGCTTCTTATATCACTGTTAGAGTTTGTAAAAAGGAATATTATATATATTACACATTATGGTTTTGTATATACATTAATTGGGTATAGGTTGCATTGTGTTCCTTCTACATAGTTTTAGCATAATACTGTATTATATAGCAACTGTGTTTTAGTGAAGAGAACAGCAGGGTTTATTTTGCCACAAAAAATGCATTCCTCTGCTAATCTGCTTTTGAAACCTTATCAGAAATGGATTTGTGAATACGAAGTTACAAAGTGTTTAAGGTAGAATTTCACAAATGTAGAAGCTGGAATGACTTTCATTTCAACAATCAGCAATTTCTGTTTCATGTACAAAGAATGCTCATATACAGTGCATGCACAATTATTACGCAAGTTGTATTTTTGAGGATCATTTTTTTTTTATTACAGTGCCCTTGGTCAATCTAAAAATGTTAATAAACCTCAAACCTGAATATTTAACCTCCCTGGCGGTATGATTATGGAAGATTTTAGCATGCCAAAGCGGTACATTGTTTTTCATGGAAATTTGTTGTTTTATATTGTAGGCCTGTAATTCTTAGTAAATCTTAGGAATAACTTGCCTAAATCTGTCCAAACAAGAGTCCAGTAGACATCCCAGGTATGATTTAAAGTTTGAAACACGAAATTAAAAAAATTATAATATAATAATTAAAAAAATGGTCCAGTAAATGGGAATTCTGGGGGCGCTGCCTGATCCGTACCACAGTCAATAGAGTACCAAGGAAAAGAAGCTGCCTAATTAGGCAAAGATCTCCTAAAGCCACACCCTCCCTCATTACTCAAATACACATCACCTGATATGCTTAAATCCAATAAGCCCTCAAGCTTTTACAGCTTGGAGTTGGACAATATGCATACAAATAGTGATTTTGTCAAAATACTCACTTGCCTAATAATTGTGCACACACTGTGTATATGTGTATATGTAGGGTCGCTCTCAGGACCTCAGTGAATACAAGCGTGGTACCGTGATAGGTTGCCACCTGTGCAATGTCTATCCATGAAATTTCCTTGCTACTAAATATTGCACAGTCAACTGTTAGTGGTATTATAACAAAGTGGAAGCAACTGGGAACAACAGCAACTCAGCCATGAAGTGGTAGGCCACGTAAAATGACAGAGCAGGGTCAGCGCATGCTGAAGCGCACAGTACACAGAAGTCGCCAACTGTCTGCAGAGTCAATAGCTACAGACCTCCAAGTTTCTTGTGGCCTTCAGATTGGCACAACAACAGTGCATAGAGAGCTTCATGGAATGGGTTTTCATGGCCGAGCAGCTGCATCCAAGCCTTACATCACCAAGTGCAATGCAAAGCGTCTGATGCAGTGGTGTAAAGCACGCCGCCACTGAACTTTAGAGAAGTGGAGACGTGTTCTTTGGAGTGACGAATCACGCTTCTCTGTCTGGCAATCCGATGGACGTGTCTGGGTTTGGCGGTTGCCAGGAGAACGGTACTTGCCTGACTGCATTGTGCCAAGTGTAAAGGGGGGATTATGGTGTGGGTTTGTTTTTCAGGGGTTGGGCTTGGCCCCTTAGTTCTGCACAGAGTCCTGACCTCAACCCAATAGAACACCTTTGGGATGAATTAGAGCGGAGACTGTGAGCCAGGCCTTCTCGTCCAACATTAGTACCTGACCTCACAAATGCTCTTCTGGAAGAATGGTCAAACATTCCCATAGACACACTCCTAAACCTTGTGGACAGCCTTCCCAGAAGAGTTGAAGCTTTTATAGCTGCAAAGGGTGGGGCAACTCAATTTAACCCTATGGACTAAGACTGGGATGCCATTAAAGTTCATGTGCGTGTAAAGGCAGGAGTCCCAATACTTGGAAATTTAGTGTATATACATCTATCTATCTATCTATCTATCTACACACACACACCAATCAGCCATAACATTATGATCAGTCTGTGGATATGCAGCCCCATAAGCAACAAACTGTGATGCACCGTGTGTTAAAACACTTTTCTATCGGAATGGGCGTTCATTTTTTTCAGCAATACGAGCTACAGTAGCTACTCTATTAGATCAAGCTACAAAGGCCAGCCTACGCTCTCCACATGCATCAATGAGCCTTGGCCGCCAATGACCCTGTCTCCAGTTCACAGATTTTTCTTTCTTGGTCCACTGTTGGTAGGTCCTGACTACTGCAGACTGTTAACATTCCATAAGAGCAGCAGTTTTGGAGTTGCTCTGACCCAGTCCTCAAGCCATCACAATTTGGCCCTTGTCAAAGTCACTCAAATCCTTACCCATTTATTTCTGGGTCCAACACATGAACTTCAGAGACAAAAACTTGCTGCCTAATACATCCCACCCACTTCAAGGTAACAAGATTATCAATATTGTTTATATCACCTGTCAGTAGTCATAATGTTACGGCTGATTGGTGTGTATATACACACATACTGTACAGGATCACACACACGGCTGGACCAATTTCTAAGTGCAATAACTAACACATTGTAGCTTTTACTACATGTCCAGTTTTAAAAGTCATTAACTACTAAGGAAATTAATCATCAAACACAACATAAAAGTGCACATTACATAAGGTTTTAAGTTTAACTAAACATTTCAGTTTATATAAGCAAGTGTTCAATTCACTGTGTTTTCTATCATACAAGCTTCAGTGTTTTCTGAACAATAGTCATTGTTTGGGGGCCACAGAGTTTACATTGAAAGAGTAAAAAGGCCCAGTATCGGCACCAATATTGATACGGTTATTGGTATCGGTGCATCCCTACTGTTTACAGTAGGGATGCACCGATTAAACTCTGTGCCGCGCTAAATACCTAAAAACAAAATCATTAACACTGTCTTATAAGTGTACATTCTACTGTATGTATCTAAATGAATTAAGTCCTTATAAAACACCGCATTTACGTGTGATTGCTGATCGTGATTAAAAGTCTGCAGATAATAAGAAACATTCCACCAATCTGGTGTTGCAAATAGTGATAGTTTTTTCAATCCACCACTTCACCCGTGAGCCTCTGACAAACAGGTTGCTCGCCCTATTAATAGACCTCTATCTCTAAAGGTCTATATGCGCCTTGTGACATACACAGCCACCTGCAATCCTTTATATGAAGTTCATCCTCTTCTCTCTCATGTTGCTCATAAAAGATAAGAAACAGAGAACAGTGCGTACCACTCGATTTAAAAGTTTAGAAGAGATGTATTAAAACTACTCCCATGTATAAAATGAATAACAAGCCAATCGAATATCAGATGTGTCTGCTGCCTCACAGTGCAAGGATGATGATTCAATCCACCTGATCCACCAGCCCAGCTCACCCGCTCGTTATGAGCTCAGCACTACTAATGACAGCCGCAAACGCAGCAGATTCTACACTGATTCTTCGATACCTCTGCAAGTCCCACCCTACGTGCGTTACAGCATTTATCAGTTGACTTCATTAGGGGCATAGCAGACATATAAGACATAGTGTTGTTTTTCTGTTTTTTTTTTTTTTTTTTTTTTTTAAGTTTTTTTCGCGGCGCAGCGTCTAATTTTTTTTTGATTAACAACTGAAGGCGACTGCAGTAAAGGCCTAGCAAAGCATCACACATGAGGAAACCCATAGTGATGTCCATGCATTCCAGCAGGCATTGTCTGCAAAGGAGTCTCAACAAAGTATTAAAAATTAACATTTTAGTTATGATTGTATTCATTTGTCCAATTATATGATATTTTTGTTCAAACACTTGAATTAAAGATAAAAGGGTACGTTTCAATTGCATCTCAGTTGTTTCATTTCAAATCCATTGTGGTGGCTTACAGTCAGAATTCTGAACAATTTCTCAGTTTCTAAATATTTCTGAACCAACTAGAGGTGCACCGAAATGGAAATTTTAGAACCGAAACAAAACCGAAAAAAAAGTCAGGCCGAAACCGGAACCGATACCGAAAATGTTTTTTCAATTTTGTATCGGCCGAAACATGGCTCTTTTGGCATTATGCCAAAAGTGCCATTTTCGGTCGATATGTTTCGGTGGCCGATATATCGGTGCATCCCTAATATAGACACTCACCGGTCTTGCAGTGGCGATATATATGAGCAGGTAGGCAATATATCTTGCTTTTGGAGTTTAGGGCAGAGGGTGAAATAATGTAAAATTGGCTTCTGAACTGGAACAGGGTGGAAAAATGGAGAAATATCATATACATATATATAGATATTGAGTGGTGTTTTGTTTTAATGTTGTGTCTCCTTTTTCTACAGTGGGCTGAAATGAGCAAAATGAAGATACCTGATAATAAACAAGAGGCTTGTGATGAGATCTTTCAAACAGAAGATGAGTACTGTTTGTATGAGGCTGTGAAGTTTTTGATGCTGAGAACTGCTGTTGACTTATACAATGCCAATGAGAATGGCTTGGAAGTGCCTGTGTTCTCTTGGTTGCTATTTGCTAGAAACACATCTAATAATCCTTGCGAGTTTATGAAGAATCACTTGAATCAAGTGGGACACTCTGGAGGACTTGAACAGGTATGTTCCATGAAGGATATCACTGATCCATGACATATGTTATATTTTAGGTTTAGTTCTTGGATTACAACTTTAAAGGTAACATGCTAGAAAGGGAATTCATTGGACTTTCATTGCTGGCTTTGGCTTCAAAGTGTTCAGCTCTTAGACGTTTATTACTTTTTATCATCTTTTACTAAGAGATGACTAAGAGAAAAGTAAAAGATTAGTTAGCTGGCAGGGTACTAGGGGGGGTTCTTAATCTGATATATTTTTAAGAGTATGCATGAGTCCATAGCCATAGTATTTAATTTTCTCTATTTAATTTATTTATGTTTACTGATTTACAGAGAGCTGACATGTCTTCTTCCCTGTACAGTACAATGTACCTTGTTGGGTTTTCAACTTGACCTTTAAGGCCCCGTTCACATTGAGCGATTTATCGCGCGATTTTTGTAGCGATATCGCTCATATTTCCGCACTATATCGCTCTATGTAGCTTCACCAATACAATTCAATGTAGCTGTTCACATCTCGTCGCTCAATGTCGCTCAATATCGCTCAATATCGCTTGTAGCTCGTCGCTGGTAGCTTGTCGCTTCTACATGACCCTTTTTTAGAGCGATTTTGAGCGATATTGCTCCTGATTGCATACAGCCCAATAGGAAGATGTCGCGCGACGTCGCTCAATGTCGCTCAATGTCGCTCAATGTCGCTCAATGTCGCTCAATGTCGCGCGATTTGCATGTCGCTCAGTGTGAATGGGGTCTTAACTTAATCACTTTGTGACGTTCTAAGCCCCTCCGTTCCCCCCTGTTATACTTACCCGCCTGGATCCGATGCGGGGACTTGCCTGGCAACTCGGGCAATCCCTCAGGATCCAATCTGCTGCAATCCGGGTCACATGATCGTAGTGACAAGCAGCCACTGTGATCAGTGATACATTGTGACAGCCAATGATTTGAATCATTGGCTGTCAGCACTGCCTCTACTCTCTCTCCTCAGTGTGATCTGAGGCGAGAGAAGTAGACAGGTTAGTGCTTCTTAAAGTGGGCAGTTAAAATAATAATTTTAAAAAACTTTTTGTTTTTAATTAACCCCTTCTCTGCTGATCAGTTTTATAACTGTGATCACTCTGATCAGTACGATAGTTACAGAATTGTTGCAGTGTATTTTTTTAAATTTACTTTTACCCATTTTATTTTATTAAATTAACCCCTTCAGCGCTGATAGTTTTATAACTGTGATCACTCTGAGTAGTGCTCTTAGTTTTACCCATCTATAATTATTTTATTTTTTTAATTAACCCCTTCAGCGCTGTTTTATTGCTGTGATCACACTGATCAGTACAGTAGTACTGTTCAGCATTTTTTGGGTGTGATTTTTACATGTTTATTAATTCAACTTTTGCCCTTTTTATTTTTTTTTATTTACCCTTTTACGTAGTGAAAAATGCAGAGTCTGTTACAAAAAAGGAGTTTGAAAAGACTCTAGTTACTATTGCCCTTCCTGTCCATCTCTGCCAGGCCTATGCATCACAGACGGTTTCAGAGTCTGCCATACACAGGTAGACTATTAATTCAAAATATTCTGTACGTGACTTGATTTAGTCTGTGTGCCTCACCTTGGCTTGTCCTATACCAAGTACTCTGACTTCTGGATCCCCTGACCTTGCCTTGTCCCTGTTTATGTTAAACCCAGCATTCTAAAGCTGTGATAAAGTGGCTACATAAAACAACTTAAAATACCCCATTTGGAATACTCTGGGTTGTCTACTTTTGAAACTGTTATGCCATCATTTGGAAATTGTCTTTTCTAGGCATCATACTCTCTCAAAGGCGACCTAGACCCAGCAAATCAATTTTTCAAATTTCCAAGTTTTGAAATGGGTATGCAATATATTTGGCCCTGTAACTTTCCCCCAAAAAACTGTATAACCAGTACATGGGGGTACCATTACCGTATTTTTCGCTCCATAAGACGCACTTTTTTCCCCCCAAAAGGAGGGGGAAAATGTGCCTGCGTCTTATGGAGCAAATCCCGACGCCCGAGACATGCAGTTTTGGGCGCCGGGCGAGTAGTAGGAGCCACTGCTCGTTTAGTACGAGTGATCTAATGAGATCACTCGTATTAAAGCCGAGCGGCGGCGGCGATCGAGTTCAGCAGTAGGAGCCACTGCTCGTTTAATACGAGTGATCTAATGAGATCACACGTATTAAAACCGAGCAGCGGCGACGATGGAGATCACCATAGAGCAGACGAAGAACGGACTTTCTTCGTCTGCTCTGTGTGATCACTGAGACCGTGGCGCTGTAATCACAGCGCCACCTGTCTCAGCTGTCACTAACTGCAGCTTCTGTCACAGCTTCTGTCATAGAAGCTGTGTCAGAAGCTACCGTCTGTCGAGTGCTCCATAAGGCGCGCCGGACCTCCCTGCGTCCTATGGTCCGGTGCGTCTTATGGACCGCAAAATACGGTATATTTGTTTAAATTGCTAATTAAAAATATTGGGGCTTTATTGCAGTAAGGCATATAAGGATTATGAAATATCCTGTGAAAATGGAATTTGTGTGTTAAGAGCACAGATGAAAGTACAAGCTTCTATGGGTGGCCAGCATTTGTGATTAAAGTGGCTACACAAAACAACTCAAAATACCCCATTTAGAATACTCTGGGTTGTCTAGTTTTTTTAAATTTTCTTTGCTAGACTGCCATACTGTCTTAAAAGCGACCTAGGCCCGGAAATGCAATGTGCCAAAATACGATGTATTGGTGACTAAAATGGTGACTAAAATGGGCAAGCCCCATATTTTGCCCTGTAACTCCCATAAAGCCCATTTATTGACGTACTCATGGCGCATTGTGGAATACAATTATAGGTTTTTTTATTGCAGTAAAACATATCAGTATTATGATATTCACAACAAAATGTGTGTGTGCATGTTTGGAAAAAATGAAAATGTCCTAATTTCTCTTAATTGGCTAGATTTTATTCATATATAGTTACAGTTCATTTATAAATATTTGATGTCAAACAAAAGCCCTATTTGTCCTCAATATATAATTCTATAAGTGTGGGTGCACTTAATGTAAAAGAGGTAAATTATAATTGAGCAGACGTATAGCTCAAATTTTATGTTTTGTTTACGTTCAGAACATGGACCATCGCTTCCGTCTTTAAGGGGTTAATGTGCGATGCCTTTAACCATTGGCAGGACAATTGACAACTGATACCTTCCAATGCTTATTATGTATTGTAGCATAGTTATTATACTTTTCTATTGTGAGCAGTTTGAACTTGGCATAGTATATTGCTATGGATAATTTCAAAATGTCTTTCCACACATAGGCCATATGCTTTTTTTTTTTTTTCTATGTTTGCGTTTTCCCTTAATGCTGTGAAAATCAAACCTGGGGATATTATTTATAAGTGTAAATATAAATGAAAAAGTTAAATGCGTCATTTGTGTTTATATATGCTCCACTAATGAGAGTCCCATTTACTTAATGTGTTAAGTGTATCCAGTTTCCAACAGTGTGTGTTTTATAGTGTTTGACTCCACATTTGCCTGGGATATTAGAAATACATTACTTGAGCTTATCGGTTATTTGACAGTAGAAATGTGTCTCTTACCAAAGTACATATTAATCAAATTTGTAGTGTTGTAAATTAGAAGGTATGCTTTGACTTTGTGCAGGAGCTGCTGGATTTCATTTTTTCCTTAAATTTATAAATTCTTCTATCACCATAGGTTGCATTTGCTCTGTGCCACTTAATTTAAACTCATGTATTTAATGAAATTTGTTTATTTAATATCAGAATTTACCAGGAGAAAATATTAAAATATATTACAGAGATTGAACCAGTGTATCAACGCGTGACCAGCAAGGAGAAGAGGGGAAAAAAAGGGGAATGGGAACGGCTTGGGGGGAGGGGGTGAATAGTATAAAACATTAACCAGTTAAGTCTTCACTACTGTATACCCATTAAAGGGTAATTCCACGTTCCCAAGCAGATTTGGGAAACAGGAATTATCCCCAGCAATTATTTCTTATGCTACACTGAAAAAGGTAATAAACAAAACCGATAAAAATTAAAAAAAAGTAAGTATTAATGGTAAAAAAAAAGCTGAAAATAATATCTGAGGGGAGAAGTGCCGGAAGGAGTTGATTGAGGCTGATTTGTAGGGGGTAAAAACTAACTTCTAAGTACTCCAGTACTTTTGCTTTTTTTTGAGGGGGGGGGGTTTGGTGCACACCAATGCAACACAGTGGTGTGAACGGAGCAAATTTGAAACCTGGTAAATTTCTTTGTCCATCTTTCGGGACTGCACAGGAAAAAGCGGATAGGGCAGCCCCAATTAATCTAGGGTGAATCAACCCTTGTGTCAAATGCCTTTGATCTATGTATGAACAGAATAGTAACTACAATAAAACAATACATTGATTTAATGTATTTCAATATAGAATATATAGAATATAGACAATACAGAAGCTAGGGTTTAAGGGCCCATTCCCACCCAATGGATTTTGATGCATTTTTGGCATATTAAAACACAATGGTTCACACCAGTGCATTGAGTTGCATTTTGAAAAAATAGAGCATGTAACACATGTAAACACATGCATGTTTTACTGCATTTCGGGTGGGAATGGGCCCTGAAGCATTTAATCCTTTTGTTAGAACAGGCAGTGTTCAAATCTGCTTTACAAATTATAATGAACAAACTCCTCACAGCCCCTCCTAACATTCCAAAGAAGGAGAAGCAAGTAGAAATGTTAACCTTTAAAAAGTCAAGAAACCCTAACCCAAGTAAAAGCAGTTGAAACATCAAGACGAATGTTTTAAATATATTTTTTTTTTTGCTTATGCTATGTGAATGGGAACATTTAACAAATATAAAACAGGTGTTATCCCAATTTGGCTGCAAACGGGTTAATACATTTTAGGTGACATAACTATAGGAGTCTGGTCAGACCAGGTGATCAGCTCTATACTTATATATAAAATTAGAGAAAGCAAGGAAGGGTAGGTTAAATTAAAATAATAGGCTAAGGATGCATGTGATGTTGGATCCTTAATAGTTCTAGAAAGTTCTCTATCTCTATTGTAGAAAACGATGATGATTTTCTGTCTCTAGTAAGAAAAAAAGAGAATAAAGTCCTTTCTCATTAAATGGTAGGACATTAGAGAACTTCTAAAAATGAATGTTGGCCAGTATGGTATACAGCCTATCATTGGGTCTTTAACATAAAGGAAGCCTTTCAACATAATAATGAAAAAGTGGCTCAAGCTAATAAGGTTTGCTGCTACTTGGGGCAGAGCCACTTCTCTAGACCAATATCTTCTTCAGCACCATACATGTACCCTTGAGCAGATATCTTTTCAAAAAAAGAACTACTGGGTGACAGAAGACATGGTGGTGAGGTAGCATTTCAAGCAGCTGTCTCATTTAAAGGTGGTGAAGTCATCAGGCAATGGAAACTTACAGTATGTTACTTGATCTATAAAATGACCCACTTGATCTTTGATCAGGCTGACAGTTTCCTGAACTCTCTCTGACTTTGTCCTGGACTGGTGCACATGAAGTCTTCTAGGGAAAAGGCCAAAGCATTGTCAGTAGCTGCTGTCGAATCACCACTTTAAATTAGTCACTGCCACAAAAGGCACAGAGATAAGGCTGTTTTTTTTTTCCCTTGACCCATTTTTGTGCCCCGTCCCACATGGAATATCCTGTCAGATGTGGTTTTAGACTTTTCTTTCCCTCATTCTTTTTACAAAAGGATGATGTTAATCACACTCTACCGTTTCCTGGTTTCTGCATAAACTCAGCTCTTATGAACCCTTCGCTGCTCTATTCATTTACCTTTATAGGTGATCATCAACCATCCAACTTAGAAAAATAAAGTTCCAATGAGGTGTGTTTCTCTAAACTGTTAAAGTTTGTATGTAAAGCCAGTGACTAAAATCTCATATAAGCCTTAACTGTCGTGCTCTTGCATTGTCACCCAGTCACATGTGCCCCTGATGGAGACTACAAGAAGCCGTGCTGACACACATCGTGCTGGCATGGTCCTCTTTGTCAGGAAGCTGGTCTAGAGCAATGATGTGCAGCCTATGCCGGAGCGAGTGCATGTACGCAGAAAAAGCGTTAATTTTTTTGATCCATTTACAATTTTTTAAAATCTTTCTGCATGAGCGCCAGCCAAGGCATTGGCCTATACACATGCAGCACAGCAATGAAGTAATAAAATGAACTAGGATCACACTAATCCAGCACGTTATTATTCTGAGTTGCCCCACTCAAGCGGCGGCCATAGAGAGATTAATAGTGAGATTAATAACGTGCTGGATTAGTGTGATCCTAGTTCATTTGTGCTGTGCTGTATGTGTATAGGCCAATGTAGTTGGATCTGTATGTGCGTTATAATTAATCGAAATTAATAGATTAATCGATTTAAAAAAATTTGATTAATCGAACAGGAACATTTTAATCAGTAACAGCCCTAATATATATCAATTGTTTGATATACAGTGCTTTAGCAAACTCCATGCCATCCAGTTATGGTTTAAATCTACTTCAAGTTTACAAATGTAGTGCAAAAAAGAGTAAAATTGTTCAACAAACAAATTGACGTTGTCGATTAATTTTGTGTTCCATTCACATTTTTAAAGGGGAAACCATTGAGGAGAGCCTGCCCAGTGCATTGCATTACAAGTACACCAGTACAAAAAAAGACAGCTCTGAAAGGTTTTACATATAGCTCGGGTAGCTGTTCCCCACTTCCGCTTTTGATCTGTAAAACCAATTTTAAAATTGTTTTACAAAATGGAAAAATGCATGATTGCTGTACTATGAAACATTCTCATACTGTATTTGAAATGATGTTGGGCTGCAGCTGGAAAGTACATGATGCAAGTAATTAAATTGGTCTTGTGACTCATAACGTGATACTTTCCCTAACAAAATGTGAAATGACCTACATGAACAACTTTACTCTTGCTACCTTATAAATGTTTTACCTTTTTAGTGCCTGTTTTTTTTAATGTTTTAGCTTATTTATCAAATATTGTTTTGTCCTCCTTTTTTTTTTTAGGTTGAAATGTTTCTTCTCGGATATGCATTGCAGCACACAATAAAAGTATATAGACTGTATAAATATGGAACAGATGAATTTATTACACAATATCCTGATGACCAGGCAGACTGGCCTGTGGTAACTCTAATAACGGAAGATGACCGCCATTATAATGTTCCAGTTAGAGTGTGTGAAGAAACAAGTTTATAGATTTTGTCCTATTATGTAAAAGATTGCCACTGCTACTGTTTTAAGACTGTGCTGTTACAAGAATCTGGTTTATTTGGGAATCTTCAGAGGTCCTCCTTAGAAGAAGAACATCAGTGTTAAGTTGGATCAGTAAAGACTGGACAATAGGTTTATGGGTGGAGGGAGTTCTCATAAATTACTTTATATAGAGGGATTTGTTACTTTGGAAATGAATTCACAGGACGATTAAGAAGACTTTTATGGATGCTGTATACATACTTCATGGCAGTTTTGGGTTTATTATTTGTATTTCTGACATGATTCCTACAGATGCCTTTGCAAAGTAAACATTTTTGATTTTGGAAATGGATCTCTTCTTTAAGTTTGCTGTGTCTATAAATGTTTTTTATACTTCAAATGTAGTTCAATCTCTAGTTCAACTTGCAGTGCTTGGTCTTAAAGGATAACCACTATTAAAAACTAGTATATTCGGATGCCTATATGTAGGGAAATATATAACAGGTTGTACCAGCATACAATAAAATACCACTAAAACTTTTCCCATGCACATGCTGTTTCCAGATGTTGTGTACACTGACTGGAAAACTCTTGATAAACTTTTCACCTCCTAAACGATTTACAATCCAATACCCGTTTGAGGAGGCCTTTATTAAGAAGTTGACAGTTCCCACAGTTGATTGTCAGTGTCCTGTCCTATTAAAGCTCTGACGATGTCTAGAGGATGCAGCTGTACTTAAGGATCCTTAAGATAAATGGCTGGAGGCACTCTCCAAAATCTTGTTTTCCCTTGCAGGCTCTGCATTGCAATCTTCCATGGCCTTGATGTTCACTTTCCTAAGTTTAGGAGAATGGACATAACTCACGGCAATTCTTTATTTGTTGAGTGTTAAGCGATAATGCCAACAGTCCTGCACTATTTTAGATGGCTTAGAGCAGTGGTGCCCATTAGGTAGATCGTGATCTACCAGTAGCTCCCAAAGCTGATGCTGGTAAATCACGAAGGGTGTGCATGGCGGCCCCTTTATTCCATTTTGGTATATTTATTTAGCTGTGCACACATGATTACCTGAGTCTGCTGAGCCAAGCTCCCTGACACCTTTCTGGTGGTTGAAGTGCTATGTATTACATCAAATAATATTAGTTTACACAGCCTGTTGCAAAATACAGCAAGGTGAGCCAGGAGAGAGAGCGGGGAGAGACAGCCAGGAGAGAGCGTGGGAGTTTTTTTCGTTGGTAGATCTCATGTAGCTCGTCATTTGAAAAGTAGATCTTAACACAAAAAATGTGGGCACCCCTGCATTAGAGGATGTCTCATGTCTTCTTTCCCATATGAGTCTCCTGTCCGCAAACACGGGGACAAGTCTTTGGTTGAAATGTTGGTCTGCCGAGCAGGCATATAAAAAGCGGTTGCTGTGCATGCCCTTCGTACAAGAGTACGTTTTGTGATCTGCCTTGGACATCCTCATCAAAGATTTATAAGTAAGAGTACTTTTTTTTTTCTGTTTAACATTTTTTTTTATTATTTAGTATATAAGAAATTACAGTGCAATGCCATCGCTTCGATATACAAAAATTAACAATGCATAATGCACACTTGATGATGATGAGTCCATAGCAAAAAGAGTTGTATGTGTTTGTCCCTAAGGACTTATTAAGGCCTCATTTACACTAGAAACGGCCGGCACGTACAGTTCCGTGCTGCATGCACGGCCGTATCGGGCAGCTCCTGGGAAGGACAGGTGCTGCGTGTGATTAGTACGCAGCCCCTGTCCTTCTCTATGGGACTACGCGGCCATACGCCCCCCTACACTCACCTCAAGTGCAGGTCCGTACAGGTGCACAGACGGGCAGGGCAGGTGAGCGTAGGGCGGCGTACAGCCGAAAAGTCCCATAAAGGACAGGGGCTGCGTACTAATCACACGCAGCAGCTGCCCTATACGGCCGTGCACGGAGCTGTACTTGCCAGCCGGTTCCCGTGTGAATGAGCCCTAACAGTCCTTGCTTTACTCATGTAGAGAAAAAATAAAGCGTTTACAAACTGCAAGATGCACAATTATTGTCATTGTACATAGCATATAATAATTACGGCGGTTCATTTTGTGGAAGAAGAAATATGCAAAACATAGCATACAGTCCAAACCTTATACTAATAAAAAGACAAGCAAAGGAATCCAGGAAAGAAATGTAGAAGAAAGGGAGAACTAGAAGTAGAAACTAGGTACCGACCCCGCCTCAGACCTCCAGAGAGGGAATAGGAATGTATCTGCCACTGTTATCCATCAGAGACAGCAACCACCAACTCATCCCATGGTTCCCATACTTTATTATAAGAGGTCAAGGTGGAGGTAGGAGTTCTTAACCACCCAAACAAAAGAAGCCTAGGCTTTATGCTGAGAAGGAGGATATCTACTAGCTTTTGCAGACATTAGGACAGACCGCATCCCACATGTTTAGGTACAAGGGGGGTGGATTCAACAGGCGACAAGCTAGAGTTCTGCTCCCAATCCCCTCCTCACTTTGTCTTCTGAACATTTAGTGTCACTTCCCAGATTAGCAGACTTCCAGGCAGCTATTGTGGCTCTTCTGTAAAAAAATATCATTTTTGGCTAGAGTTACACTTAAAAAATTTACCTGTTTCAACTTACATACAAATTCAATGTAAGAACAAACCTACAGTCCCTATCTTGTTTGTAACCCGGGGACAGCCTGTAGAGAGATTAGACTGGTAAATACAGTTATACAGCAACCTTCATTCGGGACTTTATTGGTAATCCTTCCAGTAGGCCACATACATAAAAGAAAGCTAGTTTAATTATTAAAAAAAAAAAAAACATTTGTATTTCTTTATACAGTATACAGTGCTAAAATCCACAATTAATCTACCATTCAGGCCTACAACCCATCCAAAAATCCTTCTCAGGATGTCATCCAAGATGATTATTTACAAATACTATTGCATATACACATACAGTAGCTTTTCTCTTCAAGGTCTCCTGGAGACAATGAGGAGGCCATACATTTTGTGTTTCATGAATCAAAGTCAATTTCATCAGGAGATGAGAAGTATCACAAGTGCTAGAGTAAAATCGTATATTCTGACTGCACAGAGCCCATTAGGTTAGTGGCAGAGGAGGGAGCTACAGGGTGCCAAAGGAAAAAACTATCTCTTCAAGCTGCAAACATACATAGATGCTCTCAAATGCTGTAATGCTTTTTCTTTCAAAAAGGTGAAGTTAGAGGAAAAATCCACTTGGCAAAAAAACATATTCAGTGCCACTAGAGCACATTCACAGATCCATAGATTCCTATTCAATTGCACACTAGCGTATCCTAGCCATTCCTCCATTTTTAGGTTCATAACCCACCATACTGTCCTAAAGTGTGAGTGAACATCTTGCTTGGGTCACAAAACGGTTAAGTATGTAATGGGTATCTCTATTTCTGGTTTGAAAAATCTCCCGAGCTAGAGTCTAGTGTCAATGATTTCTATACTTTTGCTGTGGGTCCTCAGCGCTTTAGTACCAGTGTATGGCACTGCCATTCAGTCTGTACTGCACCCCATGCATTTACCAAGGTTTTTCCTCCTGTTAAGGGAATAATCAGCACAGATCCTGACCAAAAATGTGGCGTGGATGGTTAAGACCTTGAAAAAGTTTAGTTGGATCCTGAACTATACAAGTCTGCATAGAAGCCAAGTCATCACTTGGAGTATCTCGGTCTATTCCTGTAAAAGAAAAACTTTCCGCTTCCAGACTTGGACTCTTCCATTCAAGAGTAGTCCTATTCTTCGCTTTTGCATATGTCATGAAGCTGATGGCAGACTCCTTTTAGGCAGTACAATTTGCCCAGTTTCATCACAGATGCCTTTAACCCAACATCCTGTCATCGTGAGACAAATCGGTTCAGTCTCTGGGAAAAAACGATTGGCCTGAAACCAAAGACCAGGTTGTCTCTGGCTGAGGGCTCAAGAAACCAGCTCTGGAGTTGGCAAAATCCTTCCTTCTGATCTTTTGGAAAATCCTCACAAATGCCAGCCAGACAGGCTGGGGAGATTAACATTCTGAAGCGTTAAGCAATTTGGATGTCTTTACAACGCTGAGCATCATGACCGGAGGCAGACTACCTCAGCCTGCAGTAACTGGACACAGAAGAATGGTCCCTAAACTTGTGTCACAGTTGGGGGAAACTGAAAGTAGACCATGGGGTTGGTACAACCTGATCTCTGCCTGTGCTCCCCTCACACTCTTTCCTTGTCTGCACTGCAGGGTTAATATGAAGGGCATTCAATTGATACTTACCTGTAGCCACAAACTGGCCCAGGAAGATGTGGTATTCCAAGCAGATCAGAATCCTGGCAGATGCTCTGTGGGCTCAGTACATCAGAAGCTAATTTTCTTTCATGGTTTTTAATTTTTTTTAGCAGTAGGAGAGCTGTCACTGGTTCTTGGAAGATCCCCCATTCCTTTTCTGGTGGCAACCCAAAATTTTGAATCTACCCTCACTTTCATTCCTGGGGACATTGGTGATCAGGACAATGAGAGAAAGAGGCAATCTTCCTAATGTGGAAATCGAAAGCAATAAAAAACTGGCAGTGGTTCTAACTCCTCACCACTATCCAAATCTAACAACACAAGGTTTGCCTTTTAGTTTTACTATAAGGAAAACTGTACTAAGGGAAATATGGATGCTGCCATTGCTGACTTCCATCCTAATATGCTAATTGCCTCAGTAGCAGAATCAGAATTGCCTCTCAAACTGATCTTAAACTAGTATTAAACTTTCAAATGTTGTTCAATAATTAATCCAGATCACACAAATATGCATTGCCCAGCAAAGTAGTTCTTTACATTTTTGCGCAAGCACTTAGAGTCATCATGTTTCCACCTCGGCTCCAACTCTCTCAGCTCTGCTTCCCTGAACTCCCTATCCAGTATAAGATCATAAGAGACAGAGCAGTCTGCAGCAGCTGTCAATCTACTAGCTAGGAGAAGGGAAGAGTGAGGGAGCAGGTGGGAGAAATGAGCATGGGAGTGCCTTGTCTTGCTGTGCTTGTGGAGACGCACACAGCTTACTAGCATACACCAGGATGTCCCCAGAGGACCCTGCAAGGGAAAGGAGCCACCCTAAAACAGGATACCAGGGCCAGTGCATTCTGCACAAAGCTTAAACTTTTAAACATCAAAAAGCAGCATCTATTGTAAGTGATTTAATCAGCATTTGAGATTGCTTAAAAACCTTGGCTTTACTATCACTTTAAATACAAGTGGAATGCACCTGAAAATGCACTGCCTTTGCCTATCTACACTAGCCTATGGCCACACAGGCAGAAAAATAAACTTA